ATGGGTTTCGGGGTTTCACCCCCTTTTTCCATCTCTCTTTCAAACTTTTCTTTTCATCTCAACAGCCAACAGGTATGTGCCAAGAGTTTTCTATTTGCTTTCTCTTTATTTCCATTGCAGTTATTTTAACAGTTGTATTTTCGTAAAAACATTTATTCTTGTAAAATATTACTGTTTTGAGACATAAAAAAAAAAAAGTTTTCATAGCATAAATACCCCAATAATAGATATTACACACACAAGAGTACAATCATTATGGAGAAGATGGACTCCTCTTGACTGCATCCAACCACTCCACACACTCTTATAGAAATCTGCAAGTACCAATATCGGTAGGTAACCCGATTTCATCATTTTCTTGCGTGACAAGATTGTATAGAAAAACTGCACTCGTTTGAGTATTATCCGTAGCTGTCATGGCCAACAACTCTGGGTACTTGACCCAGCCTACCGGGGTCAAAAAAATTATTGGGAACGACACCTGATGATAGCTTGAATCTTTCCTTGTGAGCCTCCAACGAAAAATGAGCCATCTTTCTCCATTCTCCTGTTTCGGGTCGACTCATCTCCCAGACCTCCCACAAGCACACATCCTAATTACGCAATAACGTCATATATTTTCCAGTTGATAAGTAAAAATTTCTTCGACTCCCAAGAGCAGGAAAGAGAGTCTCTGTAAAAGTTTCGGTCTCCACATTAAGTGTCAAGACATGTTGAGTACAGGGATTGTGCCAATGCACGAAACCTTCAGTAACCAACGGAATATTGTGGAATGCATTAAGTGCATCCGATGATATGAGTCCCAAATCAATGTCCCTCCATGTTTTATCAACTCCATCGGTTAATATATGACAAAAAGCACGATAGGTTCCGAAAGGAGGATGGAATATAGCCGCCTTATACTCCATGGAAGCCGGTGCGTACGCCAGTGCATATTTAAATTCTGAAACTCTACCAACACATGGAGGGAGAATAACAATTTGCCCTGTTAAGGGATTTATGACGTACGAATAATCTTGTCTTGGCAGATTATTCTCTAACCACATTCCATTACAACTACTAAGGACCACACACCTACGTTTGTACCTCAACTGGGTCACCTCGACCCCTCCTCCCCTCTGAGGGAGGATTAAAACCGACTCCCAACACACGGATTTGAAAAGGAGACCATAAGTTGAGTGGTGTAAGTTGGAGGAAATGAAATTACGGGTGTGGATGATATGATACCATTTGCGGCAAACAAGCCTTGCCTCGTAAACATCTTGGACAGGGATGCGCACAAGGACTTCAAACAACAGCTCATCAGGTAGAGATTCTATGTCTGCTGTTACCCTCTTTCTTTTACACCTCCTCGGGTAGAAAGTGCGGGTTGCCTGGTGAACGGGTGGAACCAGTAATTTGAACGGTGCAACCTCCGTATTCCATTCTTCTTTACCTGGCCGTCGGGGAGGCGGTGGTTGGCACACTTCTGATGGTGGGATATCAAACTTGGGTAGAGATCTCCTCGTCAGCATAGCTCAATGAACGAACCAGTTTGGTTGGGGGAAGATGGTCGATACTCGATCAAATTAATGATTTCCCGATGCATAAATAAATAAATTAGCATTCCCTTCCCTTCGGAAGAAAAGAAATAACTCAATTCGCCATCCCTTCCGAGGAAAAGGAAGAACAAGTATCAAAGGATCTGTCGCATCTATCTATAGTCTTCTATTAACAAACGGAATATATGTTTGTCGAGGGATGTTGGGTTGTATTTAGGGATGAGAATGAGACTAGGGGAAATGGAGGCGGAAATGTTCATGCCACCCACTCCTAGGGTTACTACACCTTTTTTCTTGTACAATAAGTTAAGTTTAGGCCAACTTAGGCGGCTAAGGCCCTTCATCTATCTATATTTGTATATGTCTTTGTGAATAATACATCAGATATTTTTCTCACATTCTTACATGGTATCAGACTAGGTTTAGGATCAATTATAGTTTTTTTTTTTTTGTCACACGTCTCTGGCCAGCACCGGTTCTCACCTCCCGCACCATCATCTCCGCCGTGTCCCGACGAGTCCTCGCCTAAAAGCCGGTCCCCGTCGCCGGCACGTGCGCTTCTCACGCGCCTCGATCTCCGATCGCCGCCGTTTTTTTGGCCGTCGACTCCTCTTGTCGTCGGCTACGTCCTGGTGTGCTCGGTTTTTGTTTTCGTGCCGTTTATAATTTCGGCCTATATTTTATGATTTGACGGTTTCTTGATCTGGTTCGTGCCTATATTTTTCATCTATTTTGTGATATTGTGTTGATCTCATTTTTAGATATGGATCGTATGGATGTGCATTCTCCTATTAGTGTTGTCTTATCAGGGGATAATTACAGTCTGTGGGCACAGTCTATGAAGAGTTTTTTAATTGGGCGAAAATTGTGGCGGATTGTAACTGGTGATGTGTTGCCACCCGTGCATCCGTCTCCTTCAGGGGAGTCCAATCCCACATCACAGACTCTTACCACTTATGTCAATAAGTTGGAGGATTGGGATAGTAAGAACCATCAGATTCTTACTTGGTTACGTAATACTTCAGTCCCTGCTATTTGTTGAGTATATTTTTGGGCATGTGGTAACCGAGCTACCCGACTCGGGTCGTTCTCAAAGGAAGGCTATTCGGAGCTTCGTTCACTACCTAGTCGTCTAAGTCACACAACCGAAAAGGTCCTAAACATTCTACTCGCAAATTGGGGATTTGAATTAAACTAAGCTAATCTACGGAATTGAAATCGAAAGCAAGTAAAGCACGCAAAAAGATGCGAGAAATCAAGGGGGAAAGAGAGGTTTTGGTTTGCCGGAGTCTCCATGATCAATCACACGCAAATAACCGAACATTGCCA